CATAAAATCCCCCGGAAGCCAAATATCAGAAGGCAGTTAATGGACCAAGTTGAGATATATTTGCTGGCGATCTCGTGGTATCAAAAAATACCGAGATCGTGCCAGGATACAAGCTTGGTTACTGAGCGTAACCGGATTCGCGCGAGGTCACAATCGGAGTAAGTTTAATGAATGTTTTCGGCACAGTTAATCAAAGAGTATATTAAAACAAGCACAGGTTCAATTGGTTATAATAATAATAATTGTTTTCATTAAACCAATCGTCAACACATCGCGCCGAGAATTGTGTACAGATATCAAACAGATGAATAGCTTTTGAGAACCAACTGGTAAGGAGATCCCAGTACAACGAGGGTTGCATATACTTGTAGAACTACGGTCTACTATGATATTAGTACTGCTCTAATAATAGACCTAATCCCAAAATTGTAGATTCGTCATGATATAACTGCCTAATCTATAAGATCTTACGTGGAAGTCACACCATTGACTACACCAACTCACTGTATCGTATCAATTACCAATACCTGATGAGGAACAAGGTTAGGATAGAGAAAGAACAATATATTTAATATGAATGAGATATAGGATAATATCCAGCAGGGACCACGCCTGCATGGCCGAGCCATGCCACTCGATCAACTCCAGTCCATTCAATTCATTGTTCGCGCCTTCTCCATTGTTAGGTATTTATCCGCGTTAAATATTGAATATCTATTTTCTGAGTAGTCTTGTGTTCACAGCTTTGTGGATTGTGTGGCTATTGTCCAATGCCACTACACTACTCTCCCACCAGAATCAACGTGATGTTGGTTCGATACCAAATTGGATGGGATCGTCGCGCGCCGGAGGTTACCGAGGACAATAAGGATCCTCCGGGCATTGATAAGCTGAAAGATAAATCAAAAAGAAGGCGGCAGCATCTGGTCGGGAAATACATGTAATAATTTTAAAAAAAATCTGCCTTCATGCTTAACACGCTTAAAATGACAATTTGGGTAAAGATTATTTGAACTATAAAAAATGAGATTATGATAATAATAATAATAATAAAACGATGCGTGTTAATAACTTAACTTATAGGTAGTAATTATTTTGTGTTTAGAAATATTAAAATAATGAATATTGTAGAAATGTTAATATTGGTATTAGTTTTGGTTTAAATTATGAAATCGGATAACGATTATGCCGGTAAGTTGTCCATAAGAGTTGATTTCCAATTGCATCTGTATCAGTAGGCTAACTGAAGGAACAAAAGTATTACCATGGTAAAGAATTCCAACTAGTGTTCCAGTTAGTTTGATACGGTTTATTTAGTTACGGGGAGATTTTCTCAACCTCATTTTTACTTGACCGTGATAGAATTTGGTAATACTACTAATACACATGAATGTTCATCAAAACAAAATTTAAATACGTGAGTGATGATTATATGAATTTTGGACAGATAGCTAGGAACAAATCGTTAAACATGAGCGTATTCGTAAGAGACATGCTCTAGACTCAATGTTCTGATCTGTGGCAGACTATTTACTTGTATTTATACTTGCTGGCTGATTGGGCATACAAGTTAGTTGCAAGTATGCAGTTTATCATAAGGCGGAACACGATTTAATTGAGATATAGTGGTTACAAGTTATTAAAATCAGTTAGACCTGTGTCATATTACGAAGTGATGTGGTGCTGCAAAATGTATTTAGCTAAATAAGTTTTTACAAGATGATTAATAGTGAGTGATGCTCATGTGATTATCAGGGAGAACATAAGTTGTAACCAGGGGGAGTACACTCCCAACTCATGTCTATGATAATGGCTTGAACCTTAGTCAGTGTTGGGGTAAATTCGACATTGATGTTTTCAGTTTGCAGGAGATTTGCTCGACTGCTTATACTGATTATTTGTATGCATGATTGTGTCGCTAAACCATCAATTAGACTGACAAGGTTTTGAGATATTTACTGAGTGAGCATCTGATAGAGAAACATACTGTAATCATCCGTAGTGAATGAAGATAAAAGAAAAACAACACTAGTGATAATTATAAGTCAATTTGCTGACCGATTTTGTTAATAGTTTCATTAATTTTATCAATCATATTACGTGATCGTCAAGTCATGACAATGCTTTATGACGATATCCTGAAACTACTATGTTTAACTAGTTATAGTGTTGAATGAGGATTAGTCAGTGGAAAAATAGGTAATGTTGCTTTAGGTGTTTCGAAACTATCAGAAATTTGTAACGTTAAAGAATCCGAGACGCCTAATTTAATTATAAATTTCAATTCAGAAATATTCGTTTAGTGTTCATTCTAGTAGGCTAAGGAGTTTTGATTTTAAACGTTTGTTTAGCCAACAGCTACTTGGGGATTTAGTTATTTTACTAGTGCAGTTGATAGTACCTAAATTTTTAATCTTATTATCTAAACTATGTTCGCATTTTAGGCTGCTAATATGATACACCAATCCATAAACCCAAAGACGATTAACAACAACGACTATGATGGGTTTATTGATAAATGTTAAAGGCGATTCAGATGATTTCTAAATTCAAAAGACATGAAGATATAGTAAAACGTATGTACGGGCCAGATTAACAAGCAGATTGTTGACGCATATGACGATTTAAAAATAATGAACATGACCAGAAAATAGTTTTAAAGTTTAGACTGCTTGTGAAACTTCAGGCAGGAATATGATGCGTTATAAACATTCCATAAGAAGTTACTGCATTTAGCCTAGGGACACTTACAAATATATGGCAAAAGGAACCGGAAAACATATACATGTTAATTAAAAAAAATCATTAAGTAAAATAGTTGAACTCGCCTGGATTATTTTTGAAAATTAGATTATTCAGTGGACGACATATATAACGCCATTCGTGAGGAGTAGTAATGATCCAAAAGCATCCAGAATAAAACATACAGTATGGCAATCACTTCCAGGGTGCTTGATGCTGTTGAGGTCTTTGGGACTCGCTCTGATCAGAACAACTGAATGAATCCAGATAATTGTGTGTGCCATCTAAAATGAACTTATGATTGCAGAAAACTTATAGCTGGAACTCACCGTATGTTTTTGGAGTAGTCATCCTCGTTGTTTGGCAATGGAACTCGAGAATATGAAATTAGGCAGGCAGTGGTCAGAAGAAAAGATATTACAGGATAGTGCATAGTTTAAAACAGGATGAGGTGTTAACCGAAGGGACACTAAAAATTAGATCCAGATAACTATTCAATCCTTGATTGCCTTGTTAGTCAATGTATATTTACGCTATTTATAGGTCATATTTGCTAGAGCTTGATGTTTAAACAAGTCTATGTCGCTGAAGCAGGTAAATGCTATTAAAGCTTGTTAACGAACCATCAAAGCTAATTAGTTGATATAGATGATCAACTTTTATTATCGATTGAGCCAGTAAGTTATGTGAACTGATAGATATAACATTACGATAATATATGTGACCATTAATCAAAGGACTATTAGAATATTGGGTTTACAAAAAATAAAAACCGATTGAGAAGGTTAAGGTGGAAATAAGGATTAACAATAATAGGTTGCGTTTCATCACGTCGGGCTCACCAATGTAGAACTACGGTCTACTATGATATTAGTACTGCTCTAATAATAGACCTAATCCCAAAATTGTAGATTCGTCATGATATAACTGCCTAATCTATAAGATCTTACGTGGAAGTCACACCATTGACTACACCAACTCACTGTATCGTATCAATTACCAATACCTGATGAGGAACAAGGTTAGGATAGAGAAAGAACAATATATTTAATATGAATGAGATATAGGATAATATCCAGCAGGGACCACGCCTGCATGGCCGAGCCATGCCACTCGATCAACTCCAGTCCATTCAATTCATTGTTAGCGCCTTCTCCATTGTTAGGTATTTATCCGCGTTAAATATTGAATATCTATTTTCTGAGTAGTCTTGTGTTCACAGCTTTGTGGATTGTGTGGCTATTGTCCAATGCCACTACATACTCTACCGGCGGCCTATGTCTTACGACGAGTAGTAAGCCTAAGTGGGTCGTTGTAATGATACTAGAATTCATAATATCAATAATCACAAGTTGAGGATGTGTAGCGTGGCGTCGAGTCGAGATTAACTATGAACATCGCTACAGAGAAACACGTGCCAAACAAATCAGAAGGCGAAGGTTGAACGTAACCAAATTCGCACGAAGTCACAATCAAAAGTGTGTGTATAAGAATGGAAGCGCAATATAGCTGTCATTAGCACAGTCAAACAAAAGGACATTAAAACAAGCACTGGTACAGTTGGTTATAATAATAAGTGTTCTTATTAAACCAGTCGTGTTCTCGTGATAAATGTGAGTCACTACAGATGTTTATCGGGTACAGATTGCCAGATGAAAGACGACGAACTACGGTAGACTTATACCTCGTTGTCAAGCCTCTTCATAAAGCTGTTCGCGGAATAAGCAGTGGTCACATAGGCTGAGAGTGTTCCAGATCGGGCCTAATCACAATGATAAAAAGAGTAACCTCGTTTGGATGTTTGGGCTTTGACATACAACTCCTCAAAAGTTACTTTATGGAACGTAATAATATATTTCAAGCAAAATATTATTGTTGGGCATTCGTGCGGTACATATTAGATTTCACACGATTATCATAACTCATCTAATTCTTGTTTGTTCTAGCGAGTATTATCCAAAGTAGAGAAACCCCCCTTTATGAGATTTGTCGTAAAACCCAATAGCTCATTCCGTTAACGCAAATTAAACATAATTTACCAATATGAAATCTGATTATTCAAGACAATAAGTATATTCATAATTTCCTGTGTGAATACTGTTGTATACTTTCAAGCAATAATTGTACTTTCAGACCTTTCAAAGTACGAGATCCATCTCACATGTCTTTTAAGGCCTGTGGAGGACCAACGAAATTTCAGATAGATGGGATATTGGGTTGACTGCTTGTGGTGTACAATATGTATGGATAAAGTTTCCCATCTAGCGCTTGTTTCAGATATGGCGCAACTCAATGCATAGGAGTGAGAAGGACAAACGGTATGATAGACAGTTGAGGCTATGGGGTGATCATGGGCAGTTTGCACTTGAGTATGCCAAGGTGTGTCTTTTGAGAGCTGAAGGTTTGGGGGCAGAAATATTGAAAAATTTAGTACTTCCAGGTATTCCTATACCTACACAATCTGAAACATTCAGGCGTCGGTAGCTTCACAATTATAGATGATTCCTATGTAACTGATAAAGATTTAGGAAGCAAGTAACTCGAACGTCTTGTCATATAAATTTTTAGTTTCTTCGTTACAGAAAATCATATCGGAAAGGTAGTTACACAACATTCCATTGCAAAAAACTTCTCAGGCAAGGGCACAGGTTGTAACAGAGTCTTTACTGGAGCTAAATGACGAAGTCAATGGAAATTACTTGATCGAGGTTTGTTGTTACACGATATATCTAGCGCTAACAGGATGTTCGCGATTTGTTAGAAAAGGACCCTCAAATTTTCTTGTCCTTTGATATTGTTATCGTAACAGATGCCAGAGAAAAGTGAGGATTCGCATTCTTAAATCTGTCAAGTTTGTTTTTTAGTGATGACTTTTTGATCTGCGAGGGTATTAGGGTCGGCAATTTCCTCTGTACACTTCACAAATATTTACGTTACTACCCCTACTACTTTGATATTTGAGCGGACGATCTCTCAGTGCATATAGGCTATTGAGACTTAGAGCAATGTACATTTATACCAAGTTATACGTCGCGACTGACTGGTTTGTAATCACTGTTTCCTCGTCTTTTTTGTGCACGTACACAATGAATTTTTATTCCATTCTCATATTGCTCTATATGACATTCAGTTTGTCAAAGAATTTGGGTGGTCACTCTTGAGCCGACTTAAAACTGTTAAATTAAAGCATGTTTTAATCCATATGGTTCATAAATTCCCCTAGAGAATCAGTGTTTAGAAAACTCGTGTTAAAACAACTGATCTTTTGTACTTATCTGCAGGCTACTTGAGATTTATTTCCCAATGCATTTTTTAAATATTACCGATATTACATATTCTCAACCTGATTTCGGGCAAGTTTTGCAACAAAATGGCAAAAAAGTAACGGTTGTTTTTGTTCATAATTGGCTATTCATAACTGAGCCTGATTTTGTACCAATATTTGCAAACTATCTTGTCCTTTCGTATGTCACGTTTTCTGGTCAGCTCAATATTAGTCACTTGATTACCCGTATGCACAACTGACCACTATTTTCCCGTGGCGTACATGCTTATGTATGCATTGTGCATACCGGTGGGTAGATCCAGTAACTTTTTGTGCGATGTATCCACGTCCCCATACTTATGAAGTATGATGCACAACCAGAAAACCTGAATCTTAAAACTTTGTTTGTGCATGCCGAAACTCCTCACTCTGACAGGAATAGCAACTCAAGTCGATTCACGTTAATACCAGTTCCTACGTTGACTGTGACTAGCAAAATATGTTGTGATTCGATCCTTAATGATCGATATTCAGCAACTAAGCCCCAGGCACGAACCTCGTTCTACCTATTTCGGTCTGGAAATCCGGGTTGCACAATTACTCCTCAAACTTACAGTGGTATATATTAAGTATTTGACGAGTGGGTTTGTTTAATTTTTATTTTTTAAATAAAGAAACACGCTCTACATTGAGACGTCTGTACTGAGAACTTGATTGTATTCACGCTCCATTAGTAGTTAATATCCAGTGGTTCCTTGTGTTGACTTTATATGATCACAAAAGTTGGATTGTCGGCGTTTACTATTAAGAACAGACATCCGTCGTTAACGACCTCAAGAACTTAAAATAATAACAGGTCTACTACCTTGATGATTTCTCTACTCAAATTACCATTTCTCATTGTCTTGAATGTTTTTGCAGTGACAGTGTAATCGCACCAGAATATCAGAAATTACTTGGTCACCGTTAGCCTGAGTATTACTGATAGGAACTTACACAATAGCGGTTGTGGTTGCATATTCAAATTCACGAGCGGAAATTTGGTTTCAATTGTCAGATGTTTGTAGGTTTCTCTTGGGAAAAATAGTGAATTTGTATTAAAAATTTTACCACTGCGTTTAGTGTTATGACGAAACTCTAATTCAGTGATCTACACCGTTAATCATAAGTTCTCAGGTTCAAGATATTTCCACTTACCTCAATTCGAGCACCTTGATTTCATCTTCAGCTCCACAACAATGATAAAGCAGGTTGAGCACATACTAATTGCATATATTTTTAATCCGAGTATGATTTGGTGTCTAATTAATTCGTCATCATTTATTACATGTATTGGTCGTGTTAGTAATGTGACAATCTGAAATAATTTTTGTTCAATTCGGGCATTCAAATGGGTGAGTAGCTGTAGACAAAAAAACTATGACTTCATGGTACTCTGGTCACGTCACAACTTGGTATCCGAAGATTGAAGTTATAATCATATGATTTTTGAGTAGTCCGAGATTTCAGAGTTCATCAGAATATCTATGTTGGATCTTCATTTAAAATATCAATTAACCAATTTGTAGAATTGTAATCTTAGTGCATAAATTTGAACAACCAATACAAATGTTTATAATCTTTTGTTGATAGACTACTCATTCGTCTCAGTCAGCTTTTGAATGGTACTTCTATCACTTTGGTGGTATGCTTCAGCATTGGTGTCATTGGATATTTAAGAATCTGTTCTCCTGAACATGTGATAGTCGAGTCACATCCAGATTCCTATTGCCCTGATCTAAGACTTGATCGACCATTTCCTGATTTCGTTAAAATGGTAGACGAACAACCGTTAGAAGAAATGACATCTGAAAAGCTTTGTCATACACCGTGGCTCATAATTGTTTATGTTTTTCTGCAGAAGTTTATTTCTCTAGTAAGTTTTACTGCTGTCAGAGAATTGTTTTAATTTTTATGTGTGGTCAGTGTCTTCAGTTTCTGTTTTGTTTGTTGCTAATATTGGTGCACAGGTGATATTGCTCAGATTAATCGTAGTGGCATAGATACATTCACTCTTAAACTCCCCTCAAATGTTCAGTCCGAAAATCGTTTTTCTTTCTTTGCCTATTTTTTCCCATTGCTCCTGATATTTTTACTACTTCAACTATATGTTTTGGCTTAGTAATTTCATCACTGTAATAAGGCGGTGTAGCAAATTAAACCAGTATAAATATGTGCCGTATTCAACATGGCTGAGTGACTAGTGAACTGCTCATTCATTTCTTGTCTTCGAAGCTATGTCTGACGTCACATCTGTTGTAACGATAATTATTTTCTAATCTATAGCTTATATTTATACATCCTTTTTCGCAGTTATTTAGCCAACTTACAACAACCATTTGGAAACGTTGATAGGACTAGCTTACAATTAGTGGCATTATTCATTCGATCGTTTAAATATTCATGTAGAAACTAAAAATTAAGTTCACCATGCGTCCTGTAAAAGAAAAGCAATTTCATCATTAGATATGTAAAATCGTAAACTGCAATGATTAAAGCATATGTTAGGGAAAGTTTACTACCAGGTTGAATACAAGTAGATCAAAAATCATCTCACGTTTATCAGATCAAGACTTCGTCAAACTATGAACATTCTAACTATCGAAATAAGCTGTGTTGGAAATTATGAACCCTATAAACTGTCTGTTAACAAACCTAGATTATCAAGTTTAGACTTTGTAGTTTAATTTATTAACTACTGTTTGTGGCTAACATTTCGTGATGTTTTATGGCTAATGTCTTAACAGGGTTATTTTTACGGGATGAGGTTTCTAATCTAAGGCCCAATTCCCAACTTTATTCGGAATTAGTGTCGTCAGTAACCCTAGTAGGACTCTAGACGGAGGCAACCAATTTTGTATTCCTGCAATTCATAGACATCTCTTTATTTTGAACCACTTATTTCTTTTGTATAAGGGTTTTATATTCTATTGTTTTTATATCCCTGTACTGCTGTTAGGGTCATGGCTTTCAGTTGTGTTGATTTCTCTAGTAATGTTTTACACGGTACACAACTACTTTAAGTCCTTTGTTATTTCTGTTTGTAAGTTAATAGAATGCTACTCTGTAAATGCTACAGACAAAATGTTGGCATATGAGTTTAGTGTCGTCAAGTTAGTAAGTTTTTTAACCCAGACTTTGTGGCTCGATATTTTGAAGATTTTTTCTTCTACCATTGAATCACTGATTAAAATGTTCCAAACTATTTTGGTTTGCATAACCTGGTAGTATTTACAACCCTTAACAAGTACTGATTAAATGACATAGTGCAAAACTGTCGTTAGTTGAATAAACCTCAGGGTCATCAGGTGATCATATGAAAACGAATTGTCAAGTTATTGATCATTGATGTGAAGCACTATTGTATTGATTGCTGATGATAGTATCTTATATTTCACTTCATTTTTGGCTTTAATTTCAATTTGCTCTATTTTAGGCAGTTAATTGCGTCACTATTTTATTGGACTAGTCCCTCAGTTTCAATATATTATTTCTGTTTTTTTAAAAAATATATTTAATCTAGTGTGTTGTGGTTGTGTAATTGTCCCACTCACTTAATTTACATTTTTTCGACTCCTACTTTTCTTAGCACGGCCATTTTCCAAGAAATCATAAAGAAAAGGCAGAGATTAAAGATATGATTTCTAAAGGTAACCATCCATTATTCGTCCGTTTCTATTCCATTTCCAGTGTATGTTATTGTTACTTAAATGTTTCCATAAACTTAACATTTTGCCTTAAGGATAACTTTCATTTGTGAAATGTTAAACCTTAATTTCCCTAGACTTACTATCATCTTGATATTCATCGCTTAACTCAGACAGTCAGTCATAAGCAATATAAAACCTGGCATATATGTACATCGGCCCAGTTTGCCGCACCATGTAAGTACAACAGGGAGAAATTTTAAAATAAAATATTAAAGTAGAGTAGTAGTATCAGCTTAAACAACTACTCAATTAGGTGTTAGCAGATCAGAAATCGACATCCGAATAACGTACATTCATTTCGATGCATATTGACAGCAACCACAATGTCTCTGATTGTGCTCTTTCTTTACTTGTACAGTGAAAGGTCGTGAAATTTTCACAAACACACCTGATTAGGTTGTGCAACTAATTGACATAATAATCTATCGCAACAAACAAAAGACAGATAACTTTGAAATATCTAGATGGCTGGAACAAGTATCCCAGATATTCAAGAAGGTTTGATTCGTCGATTTGAACTAAACTTATTAGATCATCGAACTGAAACCTTTACCGATATTTCGCTGATAAAGGATTCCTACTGTAATCGTGAAGTGATAATAAATGATATCCAGATATCCCTCTAAAAACCGACATGTGATAATTATCCTTGGTGTAAAAGCTTGTATGGTCACCATTCATTTATCGCTTGATTACATGGATATCGTTTAATTCAATGTGATTGGATGTTGTGTTGAACATGACAGATGCGACTTGAGACACAGAAACTTACTTCTATCACGAAGATATGTAGGCGCCGAATTCTAACTTGTTGCACCAGCTTTGTTTCTATAAAACAAACTGCCAGTCTGTGTCTCCTTAAATAGTTTATATGATCGTTCTTACATTACTGCATCAATTTTATTTAGGATACATTTGTATTCTACTGAAGTTTTTGTCAAGTTTGCAAATCATCTATTTTCTAGGTGCGGTTGATCTTTGGAGTCAATTGTGTAAACGTGAGAATAACCTGGATTCATCTTTTGTCTTGGAGAATTTTCAAGAAGCATGTCAGGCAGTCAATACAGCAGTTCTACCGACTACAGTTAGTTTATTTCCTGCAGATGTGTTTTCATAAAGTTGTTGTAGTCACATGGTGCTAATCGATTTGATGTTACACAATTCCCTACTGGGTGGCACAGTAGTAGTTAAAGTTTACTTTACTCCTTTATTTGATACGTGGCTGTTCGTTGTTAAAATTCGCGAAATATGCTGTTTACGTCATGCCTAATGAACACCGAAACCTTAGTGTTCCGTCTGTTTTCCAGGTTCTTCACTTTAAGAAAATAATAAGTCGACTATGGTTTAATCGACCATCACCATTACAAATCCTTGAATCTTCAATGCTTTGGAATTACCGAGTTAGGCAATAATTATTTGATTGTTTTACTATACACTGCTTTCTAGTATTATGTAAACTAGTAATCTGAATCGCATTAAACTTAAACCCTTTTTAAACAGTATGACAGTATTTTTTCTTGCTGAGAAAACCAAAAGGCAACGAAACTGCTTCTTCTCTTTGACTCTCGTTATTTTTTACATACTGTTTCTCTGGATGTATCGTCATAGTGGTGGTAAATTTTCTTTTCTGTCCCATATCTCTTTGTCACCCATCATAGTAAGTTGATGTTTAGATAAAGAGTTCTACTTACGACAGTTGTATAATTCCTTTCATATATGAATATAGTCTCAAAATTATGGTTTTGCATATTATATCTGTAATCCTAAATTGTTGTTTCTAGCTCTTTATTATTGGTGTGTTTACTAGTATCGTGTTAATCATAGTCATATTATCAATGTACTATGTAATTATCTCAAGGATACACTTGTTTTTCTATTTTATAGGATCATTTAAGTAAGTTTTTTTATGTTTTAGATTCCTGAAAATGTGAAGAAGTTACTCGAGGATGACCGCTGTAATGATCCCTGTCTTACAAATATTGGTATTTCGGGATCCAGTAATACAGTATGTAAATACGGGAAATTACATATTTTGTTAGGATTTATTTATTAATTTCTGTACTAAAATTAACTTAACCTCTCACATCTTGAAGGTCACTGGTTTCATCAAGTTCCTTTCCTACTGAAGCTGATCAATCAGTCAGTCAGTAACAACGTAGAACTTCGTACGTACGTACATCAGTTCGAGTTGCCACACCACATTAGCACAGAGATGCACTTGTCGATTCAAATCCCGTAGTGGTAGAGGTAATAAGAGTATAAGCAGTAATCGGGAAGATTAGGGTTTGGAGATGTTATTTACAGAGTATAATCCAGTGAAAGAAATTTGGAAAGAGGAAGCTGATGATTATTTCTTAACATCCCTAGGCATTATTTTGCGCTAAAAGTTGATTATCTGCTTTAAATATTCAGTGGTTTCATATACATATTGATACTGTTGTTTTAAAAAAGAGGTTTAACAACAATTACTTTTGTGGTACACACATATTATCCTCTTATCAAATTATGTTATAGTTGGAAATATTATTGAAAACCGTTGTAAATCGAGTAAATCTAACTTCATATAATTCTGTGTACAACGTCCATAGGCGGTTATCTTACAGAGTTAGTGAGCATATTTAAGAGAACCTTCTGAGTAGCTTCCGAAAGTTGATTATCCGCTTACTCCATCCTCATTTTCAAACCCTCACTATATTACATTTGCTGAAGCGTATTTAGAATAGAAAATTGTGTTCAAATTTTTGGCTGAAATTACTTTCTATGTAAATCAAAGAACGAAAAATGAGTCCGTAATTAAGTAAATTAGTGCTTCTTTGTACCACCACAACATTAGTGTATATTGCTGGTAAATTCGTTAAATTGTGGGTACAAAATTTAAAACGCTGTTTGTGCAAAATTGTCTGCCGATACAACATTCCACATTTCTGAAAGAATTCATCTATATGATCTAATAAATTTACTTTATTTATTGTATATCTTTACTCACATAAATAGAATCTAAAGTTTCCTACCAGGAACCACCAACAGTTACACAGAAAGAATTCTGTTTACACAACTATTTCACCTGTAAAATTCTGGCGTCTAGTTCGTGCTCTACGAGATTTTATTGAACATGAAGGTGAGGGACAATTACCTGTACGTGGTAGTCTACCAGATATGATATCTGATTCGAAGCGTTATTTACAGCTTTTGTCTATTTATCGTGAACGTTCTGAATGGGCGGTGGAACGCCTTGCCTCAAGATTATTGCAAGTAAGTTTTAAGAAATCGTTTTTACATCTCTAAAAGGAATATTCAACTTTTTATGTTGAGATAGTTTGTGTAAACAAATCCTGTTTGATTGAATGTATCATATCATTGAAACAATAAGTAGTAGAAAATATCCCAAGCAGTAGAAAAACATTCTGTCGGGGAAAAACTGCAAAAATTCTGTCATCCGAGCTTTCGTAGTGAGAATGTTTCTTCATTTTATACTCGCATTCTATATTATAACCAGAATTTATTTTTTACACGTGCCTTGGTCTTAGTAGCTATTCGTTTTCTGAATTTCCCGGAATTAATATCCAATCTGAAGTTTTTATCATCGATTCTATGGTTATAAATGATAAAGATCCATATCTTTTATGGTGATGCCAAAATGTAGGATATATAGATTTCTCTTCTACCGATTGCGTGATTTTGCCTCAGGACTAGTTTGAGTCATTTCCTAATCTAATTGTACCGGGTAACGTAGTTGTAAAGTTAGTCCAAGTGATCTTTTAGCTGACTTAATACCAGAACAGATACAACAGCGACCACCTTTGACCTCAACGAGATTTCCATCTCCCTAACAAAAGACGAAGATACTATGCAGTAGCTCCTTTTGTATTATTTTTCCTAACTGAGACAGGCTTTAATGATGGAAGGCATTTATATAGATATACCTAAATCACAATTTCGATGTTCACATTGGGACTTGAACCTGACGACTATACCTACTTTATTTTTTGCATTTTAGTTCCCTGATATTTCTGTAGACGACGTACGTCTTTTTGGTGAGTCCTCGAAAAGCTTTCGTTCTTAATATTTATGATGTTAATATTTTCGAGCTAAATACAGATTGCCGCAAAAAGAATTCTAAAAAAATAGAGTTAACAATGTCAATTCAGTTGTTTTTTATCATTGGTTGTTGAACTGTACCGTGTGGGCATAGGTGCAGCTAATTAGTTGGGGTCTTCCTCGAGTATTCTAACCACTGAGTGGAACGGTTCACAGTCAGTTGTAGTTACTCAGATTCTTGGATCTTGAGTTTAAAAATTATCTACTTTTTATCGTAATAATTCAGTCTTTCCTGAATCATACAGTCTGTGCCTAGTCTTTTTTACTGCAATTAGTACTGTTACTAGTTCTTCTACTCTGGAACTTGTTTTGGTTATTTCAACTCAGTGTTTATATGGTATATGAGCTTGAACTGGTACACAAATGTGTGCTCCAGGTCCTGCATTACTTATGATTGACTAGCTGTTGTGATTGTTTATGTTTGAAATATATTCTAGAGAAATGTAAAGATGTTTCTTTATCTTCAATGTAGTAACATATTTATCTCAATCAATAAATTAGATATTATAAGATAAGCATATAGTCTGGGAAATTTCGCATTAAAGGTGAAATTTCCCTCAAAACTAATAAATTGTTAATCATTATTATGTTGATTAATATAAGTCGGCAACTAAGTTTTGATTAATGTATAGAGTACCGTTCATGTGTGAAGTTTAGTGATACTAATCGACTGCGGAAATCAAAGTGTGTATTTCCATTATGTTTTCGATGACTGTCCTTTTATTCTGCTACGCTTTTTTGATTATAAACTTTCCTAGGTGTTTCATTGTAAATATCTAATTTTAAGAAAATTATTTGGACGAAGGCATTCAATAATTTGTTACATACATCCAAACGGAAACTCTCTCGTCTCAATAAAAGCATTTAGTGGTATTTTGAAACAATGACTATTTTCGCTTGCGAAAAATCTCACTGTAATTAGACTGTTCAGATGTTGGACCTTATTTTATTTTCATTTGTTGATTAACATTTTAATGCATTATTTTCAGTTAAAAATGCAAGCTTCTTGAATGTTGTACGTTGTCGGTCATTAGAAGAGGAAATGAAACTTTCACCAGCGCGTTCAGACGATCTGAGTAAATTCCTATTTATTGTTAAAATTTGTGTTTCTTTATCAGTATCAATGATTTTATTCTAAGCAAGTCATACCCGTTTTTCATTATGGCAACAAAAGTTGTCTTGTAGACGTTGATTTTCTTTCAGGTGTTCCATTTCCAAGGTAACATAGCTCCACTATGAATCTAGTACTAACCTTTAAGATTTTCAAGAATCTGCTCTTCTTTATAAGTACTGGCTATGAAGCAGCTAGTGATTTCCACTTCATTTGGTCAGCAGCGTATCCGAATTTTTGGATTACCGTTTCGATTAACTGTAGACACAAATGTGCATTGATTCATCAATCCCCACATTCAATAACTAAAATAAGAGAATATTCGTAATTCTTCGGTTAGATATTTTTACTGCTTAGTTAGTTATGGTAGTTTTACTAGAAACTTGGATTTAATACCTCCTAATTTAAAGCATTAATGTACTATTTCGCAATAGACTAAATACTTTAAAAAAAAGCAACTCAAACTTCTTGATGGCTGTCTTCTGTCGAGCATAATTACACAGTCACTTTACTTATTATTTATTATGAATTCTAGTGGCTTGTCCGTATACAATATATGAACTCTGGTATTTTCTTTTAGATTTACTCCCAACACACAAAGAAAATGATTCCATGTTGTGGTATTTAGTTCTTAGAGGTGCTAGTAGTTTTCTGATGGAAACTGGAAGGTGGCCTGGTAGCTCACAGCCTTATACTACCACATTTAAATTCAGTTCTAACAACCAAAATCAAAACTCAACTGGAGTTCCAGTGCCACGTGAAGAACAATTCTCCGCTACAAATTCTGAACAGTTAGACATGAACATCATTGAATCTGACTTACCAACGTTACGGATACACTTAAATCGTGTTCTCCAGTCGTTTGGGATTGCAACGAATCGTGTTAGCACAGATTATTTAGAGGTAATGTACTTAATTATATTTCCTACGGTATGTAATACTGATAAAAACGAATTAGCAGTGTGATATACTAAAATTGTCAGTTTGTGTTCTCTGAATGTCTTTAAAAGCCCCGAAAATTTAGGTGGGAGTAATCTGTGATCGGTGAGTGAGCAAAGACAGACACATCTAGTTACAGTAAAAATAAAACACTATTTTATATGTAAAACTGACCCTACTTGTGTTTCAATTTGACTCCACTTTGTGATTGCATTTTATGTGTTAATTTACTGTTGTGCTATGACCTATTTCTAGTTCTTGATGGCTAGCCAGATAATTAAGTCAAGTGTGTCATTTGACCAAATATTATGACCGACCAATCTAGTTATTTGCTGATCCGGAATCAAGTATCCAGTGTAGGATCCAAAGCCCAAACATATTCTTGTTGATTCAGATTGTGTTATCAGGAGTAAACTACCCTTTTGGGATTTGCACAATAATCAATGTCAGTGATTAGGGACCCACCCACATTTTCCACCTTCTTCTAGATCTTGATTTTCAATAATATTCTTTTTAATCGATAAACTTGGCCAATTGGTCTGAGACATTACCGCAGCCAGAGATTAGAAGGGTTGAGTAACATTGTACAGAATCGGTCACATGGACGCAATCGCATTCACTCCTTATCTTACTTTATAAATTCCTCTTAGTTTTTTAAAATTTTATTTATTTCAACATATAAATATTGGTACAGGAGGGCACCGAATACATATGCGCCACACTAATCTCATTCGATATGTGTGAGGGCTGTGATACTGCCCGGGTGCTCAAACAGGAGCAGGTGGTTTTCTTAGGGGGCCACACCTCAAGCCTTTGACCTAAAGGTCTGATCCAAAAGGCAGTGGAGCATCGTAAGGAGATGCATTCCCATGGTAGCCGGTGACCAACGATTGGTTCATACGCCAATTGTTCCCGCAGGATACTGGAGCCGATGTGCACCATTGTTTGGGGATCTGATTAAAGCGCCGGCAATTCGCTTTTCCTCCTCTCATTTTCGTAAACAACAGTAATGCCACGAGAAGGCAGTGAGTAGGACTTCCCTGGTGGAGGCTGTATACGCGTGGTCATATGAGAGCATTTCGAGAGGGAGGGCGAACCCACCCCACTCTCAGTCATACCAGGGCGTTTGGGGGCTTTTTTCTCTCACAACATAATGACAGTACATAGATCTTTCAAAAGTTCTGATAGCGGACTTTAAAGCTGCAACTGATTGGAACGCTACGAGAAATAATGTAGTTTTTTTAAAAACTATATTCTCAATTCATAATCTTTCTCATTATCATTGGTACTAAATTATTTTGTTATTTATGTTTTTCATCAATGGACACATAACTGTGTCAAACTGCACTTTAATGATGACTAACTCCCTATCTAGAATTGTAATACTTTAAAATGATTGATACTCGGGTCCTGTGAAAGTTTTTTTGAACTTATTAGCAACGCTATTATTTACATTTAAGAGAAAACAATATTATGTTCAATTAGAACTTCATATTTCTAAGATACGATAATATCTATATACATATTTAAAGAATATTGAATCATTCGAAAAAATTGGAGTTAATCGTCATAAAATAGGATACATAAATAGTCGTAGTGAGTATATTGTAAAAATTATTATTAATATAGTTGGTGTAGGACTAAAAAACAGCATGATAACAAGACTAAGAAAAGGATCATTAATAATTATTTGGTGAATCCCTATGAATGCTCTAGTTCTATCCACGACATGATCATGATCGACCAAGTGTGATAAGATGGAGCTGGATATAGATACAGTTAGACCGTTTTCGAACCACGAAAACAGATACTCGTCAACTAGTAAGCTAAGTGATCTAGTCTTAGGATCGACATAGCTTTCTCCATGGTATCAGCTAAATTGATAGTCTGACGAAGATCTATTTTAAAACAGGATTGTTCGCCTATATGTTCTGTCCCAATTTACATGAAAGGTTGTAATATTGTCATAAGTATTCAGAAAACATAATGATATCCACTAAATTCTTTTAAATCGATCGCTGTGAGACCGAGGATGCTCGACTCGACTCTCGGTGAGGTTGTAGATGTGCACTGCTGAGTCCCACACTAAGATAAAACAGCTATCCAATGCTTCCTGGTTTACAGTGGTTGCCTAATTAAAGTTAATGATGCAAACTATATATATATATATATATATATATATATATATATATATATATATATATATATATATATAATTATTTTTTCTGCAATCTATTAAAGCCGCGCCACTTCTACCTTCTTTTCTAACCTACAGGAAATGTGTCAGTTCCGTGGTAATGAGCTGCATTCAGTGGTTGCATTTATGGGTGGAGTTGTAGCACAAGAAGTTATCAAGTTAATCACACACCAGTTTATCCCAGTATCGAAGCCGTTGATCTATAATGCTATTAACCAGAAAATAGAATTGTTGGATTTTTGATGAACGTTGTTGTTCATATATGAGTTGAGTATATGCATGTTAAATAAATGTTGTTTCCCACTTGAATTACATTTGTCATTCAGGTGACCTTTCATTTTCTGAGCTGGATGGTTTGGTTGGGGAACATTCATTTCTCATCTGGAAATCATCAGCGCAAATTTCAGGTAAAATTTAAGTGCTCGGATTTCCCCACATGTGACTCAGCTTGAGTGGTTATTGTTGACCGATCCAATTTATCAACCAATCAGAAAAATCATGGATAAACATGGTGTGGTACAATCAAATTAAAGAATTAAACAATGACAGGTTAAAGGTCAACAATAACCAATCAAGATCGATAGAACATACTGAGTCATATATGAACAAATTCAAACACATCATTTCTACCTGAATTTTGTCCTGATGATGTTGTTGAGAAGAACAATGAAAACACCACCAAATCACCCAACTCAGGGAACAAAACTCCTAAATGACTTACTATATCTTTGTCATTTTCTACATTCTGATCAACTCATCATTTGAGTTTCATGAGTTTTGTTTCCGAACAGTTGTTGAATAGGGACTACGTAATTACGTCACTTAATTTCATATAACACCTAATACTGTGACTTTATTCAAAGTGATGGAATCTTTCTCTGGACAGGATATCATATTTTCTAAGCCTACTGCTATCTATATTAATGAATACTATATTCATTTAAACCCTTAGCTGAGAGCATAATTTCCTTCCTTATCAAAACTGAAGCACAATGGCAGTGGAAGTTCTCATGCATACTGATTAACGATAATGGATTGAAATTTACACTGATCCGATAAAACGTAGTGATGGCAACGTTCACATGCACAATCCGTTCGATTTACTAACTGAATGAATATATTTTACGGAATTAATAGGTTTGCCGAGTATTAGCATACCAAACGGTAATTAAATCCTATATTTCAGAGTTGCTATGTGACCACCAGTCTTACTGACTTGATAGGTCCTGAGTTTTAAGCCGATTTCATTTAAAGCATCAATTTTTTATACTACAGTTTAGAGAAATGGAATAAATTCCATATTCATCTATTGTGATGATCTAGTTGGCATAAAAATTAAACAGTGTGCGTGTAACAAAATGTATTATACAGTCTGTTTCTTTACAAAGTTATCCTGTGATACAAGCAGCCATGAAAACAAATCAAATACGTTACGTAGTTTGTTAACTATTCATCTAACATTAACAGAAAACCACATAAGATAAAATAATTCTGTTCAAGTATGAATAAGTTAGTAAAATGGATAGAAAATAATAAAACTGAAACTATCAAACAAGTGTAGGCATGGAGAAAATTACCGACTACAAAATTCAAGAAAAGCTCAAACTATTATATTTATACATAGTGCCTTAGGTGTTTGTATCTTGACTGCCTGAATTGGATATTTTATGATTATCATTGCTGTTAAAATTATCAGTAGTACTCGTAATAGTAGTGGGTAAGATTCCACTTCGTTGTTGATCCCAAAGTTGTCTATAATATGAATCCGGTTGTGATAGTAAACTGGAGTGCGTACCACGTTCAGATACACGACCATTTCGTAAGACTAAGATTTCATCAGCATCAATTATTGTGCTTAAACGATGAGCGATTACAAGCGATGTAATTCCAGGTGTAACTTCTGCTAATCGTTGAAGAATAGTCTACATAATTTGTTTATATTATTTTATTAGGGAAAAGAAAAAAAGTATATATATATATATATATAGGATCGATTTACTTGACTTTCACCAACAGTGTCAGTGATTCATAAACTACTATCAGGAATGTTGTTAGCCAGGTATCATTTAGGTATCGCGTATAGACTGTATCGATGTGCCCCTGTGTACGATGAATTGGAATAGTGTCGCAACTGAGATTTACCATGCAGTTTTATCTTGAAGAAATAAAAGTCGATCGACTTACAACATAAGCAGAGCCTCAGTATCAAGTTCTGTCTTCTTGAATCGTGTGTTTTGACCTAAGTATTTAACTGTGCACTAGCAATTGGAAAAGTGATGAATTTTAAGATCTATTATATTAGGGTGAAGATTGTTGTATCTTTTAGAGTACTAGCTGCATCCAACTAAGCTTCGGTTCATTTCAAGGACGAAATGCATTTTCGATAACAAACTATCAGCGTAGTTAATGAGGAAACTATCTAGGTATGTTTCTTACTGTACGTATCTCAAATGATGACTTCAGTCATACCGAAAAAATTATGAAGAGTTAGACTGTCTAATTACCAATTTGCCTATTCTGTCGTGTGTTTGAACACATAGATGGTTGTATTTGTATTTGCACTCGTACAGATGTAACATATAAGCTTAATATGTATAGAACAAAAATAAGAGTAACTCTGTGTACTCTGATCTACGTCCAGAGCCGTTACGAGGTTTGTCTGTTCACAAATAAAATCTGGTGTACAACGGCAATTCTCATAAGCACTAATTATTCAAACACATAAAGATTGGTACAAGGAGGCACCAAATAGATATGCGGCACATAAATCATTCGCTTTATGTGAGGGCTGGAGTACTGCGCGAGTGCCCAAACCGAAGCAGGTGGTTTTCTTAGGGGACCACATCCTGAGCCTTCATCCTAAGGGTCTAATCCACAAGGCAATGGAGCAACATCAGGAGATGCAGTCTTATAGTAGTCGTTGGCCAACATAGATTCATAAGCCATTCGTTCCTTCAGGATCCTGGAGCCCATGCACACCATTGATTTGGAATCAGGGTTTCCCAACTCCCCTAGGTGGACCCTCCGTATCCCCCAACTCGTTTAAAGCGCCGGACATCCGCTTTTCGTCCTGTTAATTTCGTAAACAACAGTAATGCCGCGAGAAGGCAGTGAGTATGACTTCCCTGGCAGTTGTATGCACGTGGCCATGTCAGAGCATCTCGGGAGGGAGAGCTGACGCTGCCCGCTCTCGGCCGTACAGGGGCATTTGGGGGCACTCATTATATATTTATTAATAGCCACAACTCATTTCCATGAGTTGGAAGTTATAAACATTCACTTAGTTGGGACCTTGACTATAATGAAAAATAAATTGTTATCGATATTGAGAACATATAAAAACATACATGTTCAGTGATTGAATCTAATGATGACGTTGCTTCGTCATAAACCAAAATTGGAGCTTTCTTCAGTAGAGCCCTTGCAATCGCTATTCGTTGTTTTTCACCACCGCTCAATTTCAAACCACGTTCTCCGACCTTTGATTACGAAGAAAAACCAAAAATAAAATTAAATGTAAGTTTAATATACATATTATCAAAATAAACGAACAACTGATCAATTATTCGAAGTGAATGTGTGTCATGTTCATCAGAGATTGATCCCAGTTGAGGTATTACTACAAATCAAATGGTACTGGACAACTGTTTTGTTCCAGTATGAAACTCCTCAGTATTGAGCACTAACAAACAAATCGGAGATAGAACCAAGGAACGTCTGCTCTCTAGGCGTACGCCTAATCATTAGGAGCTAAAAATAAAGACAATCTTCAAAACTTTTCCAATAAATATAATAGTCAGCTTTGTAATGACCTGCTTCAGGATGTTCCTGTAGTACTAATGAGAACACGTGATTGATAGAGTTCAGACATGTCAGTAGTGACTTGTTTTTGATATCATTAGACGATTGTCGTCCAAATTGCGAACTGCTTGACATCAAATCAAGGGTTCTAAAGGTTTGCAGTTTGCTGTAACACCTGAAGACCCTTGGGTTTGAATACTGGTGGGATGGCGGGTTCGCATTGCTGAAGAGTAACGTATAGTGATAGAGCTGTCCAATGTCCGCTAGTTTTTAATGGCACCTCAACTGAAATCAAACTGTGATAAAACGCAACCTTAAAAGCTAGAACTGATCTTTAAAAACCTTCAACTATAGTATGTTGAATGTATTAATTCTTAATAAATAGGAATTAATGAAGTATAAATTTATTTAGTCAGTTATTGGGGGCACGGCTGTTTCCTACTACCCGACTATTCAAAATAAAGTAAGCAGAGTAGTATCTTAACTTGTAGCTGGAAGGTGAATCTTTTAACCGTTAAGATGTTGGACAATATATAATAATAAATGATCCTGATCAGGGCTTAGTTGCATCTATATGCCATAAACTTGCAGCAATCTGTTAACAAAACAATATCATAACAACTAGAACAAATTCGTTACGTAACTTAATCAGATCATCACGATTAACGCTTTAGTAAAAAAAATTTATTTATATTTCAGACCGGATAAATGTCAACGATTAATATGAGGTACGTAAGATCCAAAACTGCGCCTCTGAAAATTGTGTCCTTTTTTACCATCAGGATAATTGAATTGCGATCGGGCCTTTTTCTGAAGGGTATATAATATACACAAGTATTCAGTAGTTCCGCATTGTAGTGTTAAGGTACTTTAATAGATTGGGTTGGTTGTCTGGTTTATAAAATAACTAACTTCTAGTTGATGATATGGTTTAAAAACGGCGAATACTCCACTTACTTGTGTATCGTATCCGTGTGGCATACGTTCAATTGCATTGGCTACATTCGATAAACGAGCGGCTTCGTAAACTTCTTCCGGAGTTGCTTTCAAGTTACCGTATTGGAGATTATAAAATATTGTATTATGGAACAAAACCGTATCCTATGAAACAACAGGACAATGAACATGGATACTGATAAAGCGTTCTTACATATATAATTAGCAAAGCTACATTTTAATTTGATATATGAAATCTGATTGAAAATAGCAGCCCTTGGGATGTTGCACGAAATATGAAACAGTGATGGATAGCTGGTTGAATTTCGCTGATTTCGATGACGATATAATCGTGGACATTTATAGAACAGTGAACTATTGAGGAATGTCATTTAGTGATTTTGGTCAACAAATTATGAGAAAAGGTACGGGAATTTCATTTACTCAATAGGAGGCATGGATTGATGGGGATGGGTGAGACATAATTAACTACTTTTTATATCGTGCGAAAAGGGAACAGTTACACTAAAACTAGATAATAAGTTAGTTACGGAAATGTCAGTTACCTAATGATATGTTGTGATTATTAAAACTACAGA